CCATCTAACTCATTGATCAAATCAAATATTTGCATAGAAATTAGAGAGGTTTATGAATCATGCCCCACATCATGCATTTGTGTCTTTTGCAAGAAAGAGGGCTAGACTGAACACCAAATATAACATCTTCCGTTACCAATTTAGGGTCATAACTTAAACACTTTCTAGTCATTGTTCACATTCAAAATTTTCGATTGTTCCATAATTGGTTCTGTGTAAAAGAAATTTCACTGAGGAAAAGTAATTAAATTTAATGACTTACAACAATTTCTTAAAAACAGATACATAAGATATTGATTCATACGTATTAAGTACGACTATGATAACCTTTGAGCTACCACATAATTGCTCAAAAGATATTTGACTTCACTAGTTAGGTACTACTCATGTAGTTTTTGAGACACATCTCGGGCTACGAGGAGGAAATTCTCTTTGAGGTACATCGGACGACGATTGGTTCGGGGGTCTCGTAGACTGCTCCGATAAACAGTAGGCTAATCAGTGGACTGATTGGTGGGCTGATCGGCAGTGAGTTGATCGGCGAACTGATTGACAGTAAGTTGGTCGGCGAACCAACCAGCAATGGGTATTTTGGGAACCGATTCATCCACTTCACTCGTTTGACGTTCACCACTTAATCCAAATTTTCACCATTTGTTTTCAATTCCATAATCAAGCGTCTGGGGAACTCCGTTTACAAGAGCAAATCCATAATCAAGTGTTTGTACTTCAATTCTTGTCTCCTCCTAAAGTGGAGGCTCGTTGGCAAAGTCCGTGGTGGATTCGTGGAAGACCACATCCAGGGCACATACATCTTTTGTGTACGAGATGATAACACCAGTAGCCTTTCTGGTTAGCGGCATAACCTAAAAAGACACATCGAAGAGTTTGAGATTCAAGTTTGTTTCGTTGATGCTGATAAAGGTGAATAAATGCAGTACAACCAAACACATGCAGAGAAAGATCAGTTGTGGTTGGCGCTTGAACATGATTAGTGTGAGAACTTGAAGAGGCGTTCAAAATTCAAATGTGCTAGAGGGACCTCTGTTATCAAATAGCTATACACTTGGTTAGCACTTGTTATTCACTTGGGAATATTAGAGATCAACATTGACAAGGTTGTGAGCTGATAAGGAACATGTATATTAGGATTCATTAGCTTGAACACTCATGATATTACTAGAAGTCTTTCTAGCTGTTATGAATAAGGGAATTCACGGTGATAAGGTTAAGATCAAACAAGATTATTCAATGGGAAGAGTCCTAGCTGATTACCACAGTGTATGGTATGTATATTAGGGTCCCTGCACTCTCTCTAATCATCCAAGCTTACAGAAACTCAAACCCCATTCTTGAGGCCTTGCATACTGAAGAGGAGAGCTGCAGAAGAACTCTAATCCCAACAAGCATGTCATCGTCTTCAGGTACGTGGTTAACTTGGTACTGTGATATAATATTCAGAATTCATATTCATATACAATATATGTTTTACAATAGGCAGTGGACGCAACGGCTTCCCTCAATACTTCACGGATGCCGATTCTTCTGTTTTTTTTTTTTTTTCAAAGTTGATTCTTCTACTCGGCCACCCCATTCTGCTGGGGTGTGTGGGGACATGTTGTATGGTGAACGATACCACAATCGGTTAAGTACTTTTACAGTTCTGCACTCAAATACTCACCTCCATTAGCATTTTGAAGCACCTGTATTTGAGCCTTGTAGTGACACTGAGTCCATTTGTGAAACTGTTGGAACAGTTCAGTTACTTCACCTTTGGATTTCATAAGACAAATCCACGCCATTCAGGTACAATCGTACAATCAACGATGAATGTAACAAACCAGCGGGCACCCCCCAAACTAGTGTACTTAAAAGAAACTCAAACGTCATAATGAATAAACTAAACTTTCATTCAGACTCAGGATAATACAGAATACGATGACTTTTATCTAATTCACAAATACCACACTAAAAACTGGACACATCAAACTTCGAAAACAAATTAAAAAAATAATTTCTGCGAATAACCAAAGGAAGCATATGCCCCAAACGACGATGTTATAGCCAAATTTTAGATTTTTCTTCTCCCCCTCTGATGCATCCACAGACAAAGCTTGAGTCAACTGCCTTGTGCTATCAAACACCAAATTCAGGTAGTAAAACTGTCGTCTAACCCCATAACCAATCGTCCTTTTTGTTCGAATATCCTTAAACACACAATAGTGAGGCTAGAAATCACAATACAATGAAGAGCGAGGGTTATACAAGCAACAAATAACAAATTATAATTTAGAGATGAGACAACTAGAACGGAATTCAAATTAAGGTTATCGGTGAGTACAATTGAACCCTTTCTAGTGACTGGGGCGAGAGTTCCATCAGCAGTGGATATATTAGTTTTGGTGGAAGGCTCTAATTTGTGGACCTGTCTAGAGAATCGAGAGTCATGATTTATAGCACCGGAATCAATTATCCATGCATAATTATTAGCAATATTATTATTACTTGTTGTGCCTGCTAAAATAGAGTCTTGATCGACATTATACAGAGGTTCCTCAATAATACCAGCATCTTCAGTTGGTTGATGACATGAATTTCATTTTCTGGAATCCACGTATGATCCCATCATTCTGGATAGCCCACAGTCTCATAGCAACGAGATTTGGAGTGGCCAGGTTTGCCACAATGATCACATGTTCGGTGAGGATGATTTCGAGTTGCCAGTGCAACAACATCGGGTTGCGTTTCGATGAATTTCTCTCGTCTTCCATGGTGACAAATTTTTCGAAGGAGTTCAATTAGGATTTTGAACTTTGAGAGCAGCGACGACAGAGAGCAATGACGTAGGTTGTCGGTGGAAGTCGGCTGAACGGCGGCTTGACGACAAGTTTTTATTTTTCTTTTCTAATTTCTAACCTAGGCTCGTGATACCAACTTAAAATTCGTGAATGCTTCAATATTATTTTTCTCACTAAGAGGATATGTGTGTGTGTAGGCCCTTATGGAAAGGGATTTCTATTTTTCGAAAAAAAAAAAGGGGATTAGTTGTGGAATTCACTCCACATCAACTTTCAATGATCTGAACCTATTTTGTACATCTTGATTCATAGATTATCTTTGCAAAAATTCAATTCAATCCGAAACCATTTGCCTATTTAATTATCACGATGAAATTTCATTATTTCTTATAGAACAAAGTGTTTGTTAATTTCTTTAAACTTATTTAGATGTCTTAAATATTTGCACTTGGCTAATATTTTGTAAGGATGATCTATGAGTTGTACTTTAAAAAATAGACGGTTTGGATTATTGAAATTTGATGTAATGTGAGCCCCACAACTAATCTTCAATGTTTTAGAAAAAGGAAGATCCTTTCTCTTGAAGGATTTCATTTCCTTTGAATGATGCAGCCATATACTTTCGAATATTCCGAAGTGATCATATGTAAGTTGCCAACCGATCGCATCGGATATTGTCAAACTGTAGGCAATGATAATGCTGTGGCAAAATTGTGTAATAAAACTTTTCTGAGCACATGCATTCATTTTCGACATGACCTCTCTCCCAAGATATAGTTTGGCCTCTCCAAGGAAATAAGGCAAAATATATCAAGCGCTAACACAAAAGGCCAGTTTGGCCACTCCAAACTTGGGAAGAAAAAAAAGGTTCTGGGAGTTCACACAATTACACCAAACTCTTTGAGGTTGTGTGGGTTTTGACCTTATAATAGTTGAGCAAAATGTGTCATGAAGAAGTCTTTCTAACTTCATTTTTTGTTTTGAAGAAAAAGTTAGTGTTTGAAAAGATTGGTCAAAGAATATGACAACTACTTATTCGTAAAGGCAAATTTTATTGAATTTTGCCATTTTTATTTTAATATTCATATTTTTACCCAATAAAAAGGTGAATTTTTGCCCCAAATCATTTTAGTTTTGACGATGACTGTGACTTTGAGTTGTGACAAAAGACAACAGAAATTGGTATTGACCTTAATCAAGCCAATAGATCCAAATATTATTAGAGATTTAATTAGAAAGTAAGTTGATAATTGAAAGGAATGAGAAAAAAGCCAAACTTAATGAATTAATCATCAAGTGCGAGAACTTAACCTAGTTGATTGGATATTATAGGTTGAATAGACAAACTGGTTAGACATGGGTTTGCAAATAAGTTTTTTTTCTTATTTACTATTGCAAATAAGTTAAGACAACTATACATTTCATCATGAGAACCAAAATAAAACACGAACTATAATATAATAGGATGGGAGATGTAAAATTCGCATTGTTTGAGTTTATACTAATGGTGATTAATTCAAGATCATTGTATAACCACTACAAATAAATCTGATAAGTCTCTTCAAGTACTCTTATAGGTTCAGGTCTAAATACACCTGTCTACATACATCTCTTGTGCACATGTATTTCAAATTCTTCTTAATTTTGTAATTCAGGTGGAGGATTGTTGAAAAATTAAATTGTAATTTATTTAATGGTATTATAATATTAGATGAAAAATGGGTTGAAAGAGCTAATTTACATGAAAACTTGGTGTTATTCAATAATTAGTTATCAGGTTATAACTCTACTTACTAGTAGTTTTTCTATCCCTTGTCTAACACAGCACATGCAGGTAGCGCCAATGCACATATGTAAGAATTAGCGGGACAAAGTTCACGGTAGGGGTGGTAAATCAACTTATTGAGTTGTTAGGTACCTGTTAAGACCCGTTTAATTCGATATCACCATAATATAAAGTGAGATTGGTAGTGGTGATAATGGTGAAATTAAGGTGAAATCAAACTAAAATGGATCTTAGTAAGTGACATTTTACCATAATGGTGGAAAGGAGTTGAGCCCTTGCATGACTGTGTAGATTTGAACCCGTCGGTGGCTATAATAATCTAACAAAATTTATCGTTTCATTAAAAAAAAACATAAAAAAAAAAAAACTAATATGGATCTCAATGGGTTAACAACCCAATAGATTAATTTGCTACCGTTAGTTGACAGTGGTAAAGATATTTTATAAATTCGACATCAATTCGACGTAAACTGAATAATGAATTACAAGGCTAGGCTACAGAGGGTGACAACCCTAGACTCCTTAGGAAAATACTAAAAGTACAATAATAAATGGAAATATTACAACATTTTCCTAATTAAGTAAATAATTAACAACTAAGAGAAGATATGAGAAGATAAACAGTGCTAATTGCGGAAATAATCCAAAAGTTGACCTAGGGCTAATATGATCCTCTTGTGATCTTGTTTATTGATAGACGCGTGAGATACTTCTGTGCATCACGTAGCAACTCCAAACCCTTCATAATCTCTTGATATTGTTCTCACTATCACAATTTATGACCTAGGGCTTTGATTTTACTGCATTGAGTTTTAACTAGTCCAGTAAGTTCGTTCACGCACGCATCCGAAATCAAGCAAGCAGTGGTTCTCTTGAGTCATCATCTCCAGACATTTTGCTATAGTAGGAGTACAGAACCAACTGGACAAACCCTAAAATTGTACCGAGACCGTTTGGGATCTGCATGAAAAATAATAAATACAAGTTAATAAGTTATATAAGTGTGATGTTGTTGCTGTTTAGAGTGATAATATAACTGCTGAAATTCGTCCAAGGAAAAAGAATACTTACATAGACAAAAGGGTCGCCCTGCAACGCTCCGTATGCACAGAAAGAGAAACTCACCAAGAAAGTTGCAAGAGAAAGATTAAATGGCATGAACTCAACACTTCTTGTTTTGATCACCAAATTCTGAAAAAGGGTATATGTGAAACGAAATCAGCGAGAAGAAATTTCACAATCTGAAAGCAATCTGAGTGAGAATTATTCCACACGAACTTACGATGATAAACAACGGCGAAGCATACACTGAAACTACTGAAAAAGCACATAGATATCCAACGAACAGTTCCCTCTCATGGGCTACAAGTCTTAAGCTCACAAGTACAACAGCCGCAAAAAGAACAGAAACTGCTGCGAGCAATCCCGATATCCTCAGCTGCAATGAACATTTTGAAGAACAACACGTAGTCAGTCATGCAGAGTTGTAAAAGGGACTTGATCTTAAGAAGAGTACGTAGATTTTGGGATTTATAATTACCTTAATTGATTTTTCGGCGTAAGTAATGAAAATGATCAAGTAGACTAACTGGAAAACAGCTCCGATTGAATTGACTGTAGCCACCATTATAATACCACTCTTCACTATAGGCAGGCCATACCATGTGCATATCAAGCAATTTAAAAGACCATATATGTAAGGCAATCCTGAGAATTGTTCTGTTGACTTGTTTGTGATAATTCTTTTAAATGTTGGCCTGAAAGAACATAAAAGATTCAAAAGTGAGTGGGAAGTGCATAAATCATTGGGGTAAGCGAAAATTTTAATGAATTCCCTTTTTTAAAGGATGCTAGTGAGACTAAATTTTAGAAATTAAAAGATATGGAAGTTGATAATTAGTTTATTACTTGAGCATTGATAAACGTGCTTATTCTTATTGGTAACACATCATTTAGTTTGCAAATTTTGTCTTCAAATTTAGTCTCCCTAGTATTACCCTTTTTTAAAAAACTTACATTGGTGACACATACAACGAAATTGCACAGATATTGCCTGCAGTTGACAGAGATGGGTGTTAGAATGTTTCTTGCATATCTAATCATTTTTGGGTCAAACTTGCATATCTCCCCGATCACACTTGTTATACATACTTTCATTGATCAGCCAAAGGTTGTTTTTTTTTTTTTTTTTTTTTTTTTTTTTTTTTTTTTGTATTTTTATATATATTTTTTTACCAATAATATACTTTAATTTTCATACAAGAAGTTGAACAATGATTATATTTTCACAGGTAATTTTTTGTCAAAGTATAAAAGTTTCCAAAAAGTAGAATAAATGGTTTTAACTTGTCAAACAATTCTTTCGTATAATTAAGGAGAATAAAAGTTTCAATTTGGTTGCTAGTTGTAAGGCCTTGATCAATGGTGATAGATGCCAGATTATTCAACATATTTTTAGGGAAGGAAATTTTGCGCCTGATAAACTTGCTGAGATTGGTTTGGATTTGGGTTTAGCCTGACTATTGTAGCAAAAAAGAACTCCTATCATATGACAGTTATATACAGTAAATAAAACAAATAATTGACATATTATACATACTAGCTTTAAAAAATTATTATCACATCGGATTAGCTCTAATCCGCAACGGTACTATGATATGAAGTCATTAAAAAAATTCATGCATGGTTGTGCTTCATGAACCAGAAACCTGTATTTAAAGCATATGAATGCATAGAAGAAGTTCTAAGCAAATATATATATATATATATATAAAGATGCATTGTGTAAAAATGAAGAAGGTATACCAGCAATGCCGGCTGCAGTACTGAACCATAGATAAACAGAAGACAATCCAATTGGCAACATATCGAACTATCGATTATCAAAACTTCTGCTTAAGAAAATGTATGTATTCACCAAGCAGAAGCTTTCTCTCTCTTTTCTATTGTAGCTGTGGACATTAACAATCCAAAGGGGAAGCTATTTATAGATGTATTTCTTGTTACATATAAGGGAGTATGTCTTATTTACCACCAACTTTTTTTTTATATTTTTTATGTGTTCATATATGGTTTGTGTTTGTGTTTTTACAATTGACAGGATGTTTATAAAGATGATATTTTGCAACAGCCAATATACCCGCAAAAAAGGGACGTCACGTACTAAACAGGGCAAACTACTACAACTGTGAATCAAACTCGTACAAATCAATCTTTTGTGAAGCTAATGATATCTAACTACATGCTAAACTTAAATATTTATGGAAAAGATAATTCCATTTTTAGGTTTTTACTTTTATTGTTTGTGCTATAGATAGAGAGAAAGTGTGTGAGAGATAGGATGGATAGATAGTCTTAAAAGAAGGGTGGAGGAATAATGGTGGAAGAAGAGTGAAAGAAATTTATATGGTATATATTCCCTTCATTTCTTCTTCCTCCCTCAATCATTATTCGTTCATATTTTCGCCCTTATATTTTCTCTACGTCTCTAATTCAAATAAATAATAATAAATAAAATGGGACCTATAAAAATTGGAAACCGATTGTTCTCCATGCATGTTACTGCAAATTATACTGAACTTTGCAATCATTAGTTCTTTCACTGCCCTTTGGCAGAACTTTCGTCACTTAAAATGATTGGTTCTTTCCACCTTGCGGCCACACATAAGCACAATATGGAGAAATTTGTTAGTGTCTCAGGAATATAATCCACTGCATCAAGTATTTTAATACAAGTAATTGAAAATTTTCATTTTTAAGTATCCAATTACTTGTATTATGACACTTGATGTATGAGTTGTGTTCCCGGCACACTACTGAAAACTTTCTTCACAACATGCACATGTGTTTTGGTTTATCAGACTCGTATTTGTTCCATCTTCAGCAGCCTTACAGCTTAGTAGTGAGTGGTAGCACAACCCCGACCACGTACTGGCACCTTACTCGAGATTCTTTCTACATATATGGAGACGCGAGTGATACAACTAGGAAATGTCAATCATCGTTGGTTTAGATCTTTATAGAATTTTCAGAGCCAACGGAAACTTCTAGTACTGTTGCCTATTGGCTGCTTGTCACTTGCATACAAATGTATGCCTTGCGGTGACTGTGCCCTCATGCATTTTATCTATTTTAATTCTGAACGTTTGAGATTTTAAATTGAATAATGTTAGGAAGATGCAAATTTTAAATTAAAATTTACAAATCAAATTATGTAGATGTTGATAATTGAATTATTAGTTAAGTTTTAATTAACGTGCTTCTTTCCTATTGGTGACACATCATTTCGTTTGTAAATTTAATTTAAATTTTGATTTCCCCTAACATTACCCTTTTAAATTAAACATCCGAAAGAATATTGGAATATGCAGAAGTGTTCTTTTATGGTCGGCAAACATTGAGTAGGACAACAAACTACAGTACATGTGATCTTCATCAAATTTTTATCTCCAATGTACACATCATCAAGTCTTCAAAATGGATCTTTCATACCTAATTCGTCCTGGAGTTGGTCCCTGAACATATTTTACATGAGAGAATAAGTGTCGGCTGGTTAAATAGAAAAAGTTGAAAGAGGGTTGACCAGGTTACCTGTGCAACCACTTGCATAAAAAGATAATTAACCTTCTATGTTAAGAGTGTTATTATCCGACCCATGTTGGTTCCGCTATGATGCAAAGGTCGCCATTTCTTATAAGAGCGGCACGCCACATGTACTACCTATTTTCATCTTCACAAAATAAACTATATTTCTATAACAATCACCAAAATAGATTGGAAAATGATATTTGTTCTCCTTACACTCATCTCATTTTCTCTAATTGTAAAACTGAATAAATTAAAAGAGAACTATAAAATATAAATGAAGTGATGCAAAAGGAAGAAAAAAAAAACAAGAGTGCAAAAATTCATTTATCATAAGAATCTGAAATGCTCATAAAAATTTCTTAGTGAAAGTTCAGATTAAGGAAGGGTCCAAAGGAGTACAAGTGTGCTCGTTATCGATCATGGCTTGATCGAAATCTTTATAGGATCCATCATGTTCAAGATTTAAATTTTTTTTTTTTATGAAATATAAGGATCTATTATTTCCTATAATTTCTCATATGAATTTAAGATGCTCGTAAAATTTTCAAGGTGCAAGCTAAGATTAATGAAGGGTCCAAAGGATGAGAATTTTTTAGTAAGCCAGGAAAACGGCGCGATACACCAAATGCAATAATAATTGGTTGAATTTTTATTTTATTTTATTTCCAACCAATGTATTTTTACACTTTGTGTACTGGGCTATATGTTCACGAGTGTACTCATCATTGATCATGGTTTGATTTGAAATCAATCATGAATGATAGGATCCACCATCTGAGGATTTTTTTTTCTTCATTTATTTTATACACTAGAAGGATCTATTATTTCATTTAATTTCAATTATTGCTTCTCTTTGGCGTTCTTATTTGCACCTGTCACATGTTTCAATTCTAGCTAGTTTTGTTGTTTTTGTAAAAACCTATGATTTCATATTTATATTAAACGAATATTGCATATGTGGTGAATCATTGCATCGGACATGAACATACACATGGACACAACAAAGCAATGATGCAGGTTTCATTCGGCCATGCTTCCTCGGCATGTTTTACTTGTTGGCATCGATCCCATGTTCTTATTTCATCCTTTGTTTAAGACAAGACATATGATTTTCATTAATAATTGGCTATCGAACAATATAGCAAAGGTGTAATGTTGTCGTTCATGTGCTTGTTTCTTACCATTAATTAAACTAATAAAGTTAATTAATTTAGAAAATTGTTATTGGAATTCCAAAAATATCATTTTGCACTCCAAAAGTTATATGATTAGAAAAAAAAATTATAGTTTTGAGAAGTGCAAAATAAGATTATTTTTTGGAAAAATTAGTATCCGGTCCCTAGTTTTTACTGTTCATTGACTAAGACCTTATTAGTTCTCAAATTTTGATTCAAGTCCCTAGCATTAATGTGATAATGAATTTACATGTTTATTATACAATTTTTAATATAAAAATTAGTAATTAATTTAGGGTTTAATACTCACACCTCTATTAAACTTCTAATTAATTTTCAATTCAAACATTTCTAAAATAATAAAAAATTAAATTAAATTAAGTTTGTACCTATTAGTTTTTTTTTATATATATAAAAAGATTCTCAATTTTTTTAATCTTAAATGTACCCATTCTCAAATATATCAATTTGTTATATGTAAAATGTACCCTTTTTTAAATATAAAATCCATTCAAATTTTTTAATCCATGTTTAAACTTATATGGGTACCTTCTTTTTCGTTGATTTGAGAATGTATTCATGTTTTGGTACAATAACTTTTTTTGTTAATTTTGGTTAATGTACCCATACATATATGTACACACACACACACACACAATATAATAGAGAGTATAATTGATATTTTATTATTTTTAATCCCATAAATTATGGGTTTTATTTAAAATCTCATTAATATAAACAATTACAAATTTCAATTTTTAGTTTTTAATTAAAAAAATATAGTAACTTACATTATTACATTAATGTCAGGGACCTCAATCAAAAACTAAAAATTAACAAGATTTCAATCAAAGAATATTGATAACTAGAGACCGCATCTAAAGTGTCCCTTATTTTTTTTATGCTAATAATAGTTTTCTTAATTTATTGTACTTAATTTCATAAAACTAAGAGCAAAAATTTAGCAATGCTTTTGAGTTGTAGGCCTTGTTTTATTTTGAATTTCAATTTCGCCATGAGTTCTTAAAAAATTTGTAGCAATATTCTCCTTTCCGACCCCCCCCCCCTCCTTCTGAACGTTAGTCAAATTGAGCGTAGTTTTGTTCATTTTGTGAACTATTGCATGTTAAGTTTTTATTACTAATTGTATTTTTTTTCTTCTCATATCTCAATTATAGAGTTTCAAGTATTTACTAATTCTCTTTGTGAAGTTAGCATTTTATTGATGCATATGCTCTTAAAAGTTGGTCAAGTGCATTACATGTAAGAAATTAACAGAAAAATAAAAGAGTTATTATTGGCACTCCAAATAAGTAATTACACATTTCTCACTAATGAATTAGATAAGGAAGAGAAGAGATGGGTACATGATAATTTTGTTTAGTTCTATTAAAATGAATTATTCCCACACAAGGGATTTCAAACACATTCTCATGCGACATTATTATTTTTTTTTTTGCCATTAAATGGAATAAATCAAACGAGAGTCAAGGACTCAAGATACATAAATAAAGTAATTCAACGTGCAGAAAGAGAAAATGAGTACGTGAAAATCATTTTCTAATATAAAATACAATTTTTTAATCTTTTGGGAGTTGAAAACACCGGGTGATTGCTCTTGGGTACGGAGGAAGATACTCAAACTTAGAAGCATAGCCGTGGGAAGATCAAGTACCTAGTAGGAGACGGCTCAACCATTTAACTATGGTATGACAATTGGAAGCCTGGATTTGCTCTATCAAAAAAATAGTTGGAGATGCCAGATCTTTATCGGATGTGCTCGGGTTGTGTCAATAAAGATAGCTAAGTTCGATTACCGCTAGAGGGCTTGCTCTGCCACACAATCGATGAAGACTCAAACCAAACTCGCTCTGGGCACAAGTACGCGAGAACCTGACTTTGTGGGATCAGATCAGATCAGATGAGGGGTCTAGAAGAGGGGCAAGCACTACTCTCTAAGGGTCTTTTAGAACTATTATATCCAGGAAGGTGCTACATTTTGTGTATCACATTTTTAGCTCCAGTGTAATGTGGTATACAAAACACGGTAAAAGTGTAATGTTTTTTTTAAAAGAAAACTAATGAAAATAGTTTAAAAACTTTGAGTTTTAATCAAAATGACAAAAATATGTTGTCAGTGAATAGTACAAGGAGTAACTTTTTAGAGTAAAAATATAATTTTCGTTAAAAGTGAACAGTACGGAAGTGTTTCGTCAAAACTTAATTTTTTTTTTTTAAGGAAAACTAATGAAAAGGGCTTGCAAACTTTGAGTTTTAACGATAAGGACAAAATAAAGGGTAAAGTGAATAGTATCAGGATTAAATTTTTAGTGTAAAAATATGATTTTTTGTTCAAGTAAACAGTACCCGAAGCTTTTCGTTAAAGTTTTTTTTTTTTAATCAATAATGCGCATTACAGGCTGCTGGTATCTATTTGGACTACAACATTGGGCTGCTATTCAAATATTCAATAAATCTGGGCTACAATATTGGGCTGCTATACCATTTTTGTATTGGTCAACAACGCTGACCTTTGCCATTGAAAATACTAAAACACAAAACTCCTCCCCCGCCAAACACAACATTTCCCGTAAGGTTTCCCGCCATGTTCTTTTTCCTAACCCTTGGTCTTCCCAATAAACCCTCTCTCTCTCTCTAATTAGTAGATGAAGCCATTTTGAACAGATCATAGCGTGCGACATTGAGAAGAAAGAAGATGGGGATTCAAGGGCTACTGCCGCTACTTAAATCGATAATGGCGCCAATCCACATTAAGGACTTGGAGGGCACCTGCGTGGCGGTGGATACCTACTCTTGGCTTCACAAAGGCGCCTTGTCCTGCAGCAAAGACCTCTGCAAAGGCATACCCACCTCCAGGTTTCTCATTTTTTTCATCGCATTTGTCGGATTGGGATTTTGGGTTTTTGTTTGCTGGTCGTTCTGACATGAATTAGCTGCAAATTTCGATGCTTTTACGAAAATGTGATGATGGGTTCTTCTTGTTTTGACCATTTTGATGCAAATTCGATGATGGGTCGTCTTGGTTCGAGCATTCCGATGTGTTTTTTCATGAATAATGATCGGTCTTTTGCGGAGCTGTTTCTGGTGTTAAGTAGATGAAATTATTGTTATTTGTGTTTCACCAATTTTAAGAATTTGAGATAAAAGAACCAGAATTTGGCAGTGAGCTTATAGGAAAGGACAAAATGGGTTTTTAAAGTGATCCCTTTCCCTCTTTTGCTTTCAGATTACTTGCATTTGTTGGGTGCTTTTCACCATTACGGTATTATCTCACTTTTTCAGTCATTGTTCTCGCTTCTAAGTAAATTGACAAAAAAGCACTAATTTTGGTAAATCAACTACTTATTGAACAGTATGTACACGAAGAATTGAAATCACTTCCGTCCTATGAAGTTCACTGATAAGAAGCTACCTGCATTTTATTTGTAGTCAGTGATTTTATGGATCCAAAAGTACTAATTTCAAAAAGTAGGATTCAAAGATGAAATAATTTATTATCTCAAAGCTTCTTTGAAGTTTAGCGCGGTTGATTATGTAAGTAGATTTTCTGTTATATATGATTCGTTTGCATTTCATTCCCATTTTAGGCACATTGACTATTGTATGCATCGAGTAAACCTGCTGCGGCATTATGGTGTTAAACCCATTCTTGTATTTGATGGCGGACTTCTACCAATGAAGATTGAACAAGAGAACAAACGTGGAAGGTACGGTGGCATCTCTTTTATTCTAATTCCACTTGGTTGTAATCCATATTATATTTGCTCTTTGTTTTGGATTAGGTTGCATAAATCCTTGATGACATTTAGTTTTTCAATAGTGTCAGATATGTAACGAATTGACTAATTAATATTAGCTTAGGTTTGATCCACTATTTAGGATGTCTAAATCCTTAATAAACTTTTGAATGCTTATGCTGATGGATGTTTGGACACCCTTAGAGATAAACTGAAACCATTAGTGCATAAGTTTGTGTATGTAGCCAACCGATTTTATGGGCATATATATCCAACTCAACCTCTTAATATTTTTTCTTTCGCTTCCCTTGTATGGGGATTAGATGTCTCAACTCAAACCTTTCATTAAAAGACCACCCTGTCTATGTCATTTCTACTACATTTGGCAAGCTTCCGATCTTTAATGCATGATTGGTTTGTCTCTGCAACATGAGGCTGAGCTACTGATCCTTCTCTTCTATCCTTATTAATTGATAGATCTAATACATAAGAGACTGGTGTTTGCCTCTTAAGGTTTATGTGTGGTTCATGGATAACTCAATTTAGGAACCGTTTTGTGTTCTCCTTACACAGGGCGAGAAAGGAAAATCTTGCACGTGCCATTGAGCATGAGTCCAACGGAAATTCTGCTGCTGCTTATGATTGCTACCAAAAAGCTGTTGACATTTCACCTTCAATTGCACGTGAGCTAATCCAGGTAAAAAAGTCGCTTTTGGGTTAAAGATCACTAGCTATTTAGAGTATCAGATCTTCGTAGGGATTTATGTTTATCGTTAGCTCTACAGAATTTTATCTCCTCTCTTGTTGATACTGTTGCTCCTTGAAGGTGTTAAAGCAAGAGAATGTATGTTATGTGGTGGCTCCTTACGAGGCAGATGCTCAAATGACGTTCTTGGCTGTCAGCAAGCAGGTAGAAGCAGTAATCACCGAGGACTCAGATCTGATACCATTCGGATGCCCCAGGGTTAGCTATCTGTATAGCACAGACCACTTTTCTTTTCTTTACTATTAGAAATTTCTCTGTGTGATATGATAATTCTTTTTGTAATCCAGATTATCTTTAAAATGGATAAATTTGGGCAAGGAGTTGAGTTTCAGTATTCCATGCTACATCGGAACAAGGACTTGAGTTTTTCTGGATTCACAAAACAGATGCTTCTGGAGGTGTGTATTCTGAGTGGTTGTGACTATTTACAGTCGTTGCCTGGAATGGGACTGAAAAGGGCACACGCCCTCATAAAAAAGTTCACAAGTTATGATAAGGTGAAGTTTATTATTCATCCATTCTTTAAATTTCGGAAAACAGACCGGCATCATTTGAATAATTTTGTTTTAAAGTAACTGTAACTGATGACTGTCCGATTTCAGGTAATTAAGCACCTAAAGTACAGTACTGCTTCAGTTCCTCCCCTATATGAAGAATCATTCAAGAAAGCAATATTGACCTTCCAGCATCAACGGGTTTATGATCCCGTTTCTCAACATATTGTATACTTGTCTGAAATGTCTGATCATGTTGTGGATGATTTTGACTTCTTAGGACCATATCCTTTATACTATTCATCTCAGTCAACCATCTTATTACTTTCTTTTATTGTTTCATTACTTCCATCTATTCTTTTCAATGCATAAGATTACGCCTTAACCTGAAATACATCGATATCACAGCATATAGCTAAAGGTATAGCAGAAGGTGATATTGATCCATTTACTAAAATGCCATTCCAGGTATCCTCTGCGATTTCCATAAGGTTTATTTTTTTTCCGATTGATTTTCTTCAATTGTCTGTGTGTTAGTTTAGTCGTAATGAGACTAAAGTAGGTTTTCTTCTTTTCTCTTTGCGGGATCAGGAAATGAACGTTAGTGCCGACAGAACTTACCAACCTAAAAATGTCAATCTTGGAAGGATAAATAAAAGGCTGGATTTGCCTGTGCAGAATAACCTCCTGACTAAATATTTTTGTATCCTTTGAATCCCTTTTTTCTTAAGCTTGATTAGATTATCTAGGTTTTAATTCAGTATATTGTGCTAAAGAATCAGTATAAAAATAATGTTCACAGTATTGCATTTTTGTAGCTTATATTGTGCTTGGGCTCAAGTTCTGCAGTTTTTCTTTGACAACTAAAGGCTTTGCCTCTCTTGAAGCAAAGAGAAAATTCACGGCTCCACGGAACTCACCTGATTCTCCAAGTCCGGTTGACGACTCTTCTCTCAGTCCCAATGAAATTGCCTCTGCGGATGATGTTTCGTGTAAAACAAACTGCTCAGAGTCATCCCTTCTTAACTCTGACAACATGGGAAATGAACCTCCCAGTGATTCAGTGAGTTTCATAAATGGGTGTGATATGATAATTGTTATTCGAAGATCACTTATTAATCAACTGTCGTTACTCCTTATAAATTATCTTGTCTTTTCTAGGATCACTTATTAATCAACTGTCGTTACACTTCATAATTTATCTGTCTTTTCTAGGTAGAAGATGAATTCGACACTGATGTCCCTGATTCAATAGAATCTCAAAATCATGGTAAGGATATAGTTTCCCCCTTGATAACTTCATGGATCCATTTTTAGTTTTCTGGTTACTAGTAGTTACAACTCACTTGAATTTGTGTTCCTGACGTTGAAAGACATGGTGCGCGTGAGACGAAGTCCAGAAAATACATTGTTGCAACAGCCCAGACATTCTATCCATAAGCCTTGTGTAACGCTGCATAGGGAGCGTGAATGTAAGAATGCCCCTGACACAGTTGAGGGTGGTAAGACAAGAACGGAGCACAGAAAGGTCATTGTTAGGAGTTCTTATTTCAAGGATAAGTCAGTCAGTGAACACAATCAGGAAAAGCGATTGCTGAAGGATGATCTTGCTATTGATATGCACAAGGATGCAGTTCCTGAGAGTACTCATTTTGAGAACAGCTATTTTAATGGAAAAGTCGCTAAAAGGAGAACCTCCCCACATGACAATGTTCAAGTGGTAGGTGTTTTTCTCTCCTCTGATTTTATGCTTAGAATGTTTGTGTTTATGATTATTTTTCTTATAAAAACACTATTGTTTAACTGCTTCAGGAGAATGTGAAACCCAAACCACTGTGTATCAGTGCGTCCCTTCCTGATGATGGTAAGTGTTAGTCGAAACTCAAAAAAATAGTTGAGCACCCTAATTTCGAAATCAAGTTATTCGATATGCTTTTTATTAACTGTTCAAGATAAGCTTCTCTTGTTCACTCACAGATCCATGCTAATGCCAAGCTTATTAATATTATAACGTATTGAATCTTTCATCAGAGCAAATATTTTGTTTTGTTTCTTCAATGTAGGTCCCTGTGCATCTAGCCTGAACAAGGCAGTTACAGACACAAATGAAGAAGGAAAATTCGCATCCAATATTTCCCATTTAGGCCGTTATTCAGATATAGCAGAGAAATCAGTGGAAAATTTTGTATCAGTAATATCATCATTTAGATTTTCCTCGTCTGGTTCTCGTGCAAGTGGTCTTCGTGCTCCTTTGAAAGATGTCCAAAACACCAGTACCAATAGGTAATCCCTGTTGTGTATGGACGATCCAATCTTAATGTTCATTGCGCTAAAATGAATGACTTGATCTTTGTTTATTGCAGACCAACTGTTGTTGACTTCAGCAAATTTGAATATATACCAAGTATTCAGAAAACTTCCGCAGCATCACGCAAACGCTGTTTTAGACCTGTTTAAGCAAAACAGTGAGGCTGTGAGCATCCATGTGATCCATTTTTCAGTTATAGTAATTGCTCTAAAGACAATTTTTCCAGGTGAGTGGGGAGGGATTTTCAACTTGGCTTTCGTTTGTTTATCTGCAATTTTGTTATGTGGTAGCAATCACAGATTCTTCGAATGCTAATTTTGGACTTGCGGGTGCATTTGGTTAATCTTCCATCAGCGTTGTTCTTTGTTGTTTGTTGTTCTTGTAATGTCATTTATAAGCTCTTTCGGATTGCATGGAATACAATTATACACAATGTTGTAACTGTTGTTCACAATGTTGCAATATTGATTCGTTAAACTTGTTATAGCTACATACCTTCAAAAGTTGTATTATTTTTTGGCTAATTTTGTGCAAACATTCTGAAGATATTGACCGCATAAATCGAAATTTTTTCCAAAAGCAATCAATTAAATATATCTTCATATAAACTGATTCCCCCATTGATCAAAACACAAGCTCTGAACAATTAACAACTTTTCCAAGGCTTTTATTGGACCACAGTTAATCAGCTAATAATCTGAAAAGAACCCTAGCAGTTAACATAGCACCGGCAGCCATGAAGTTTCACCTTATCAGGCCGCCCCAAGTGCGGCTTATCAACCATCTGCAGCCATAAGGGTTTTGATGGCGGCTCAGGCTCACTGACTGGCGCAATTGGCGTTGGGTACTGGCCAACTGAAAATTGGAGCCTCTTTGGTCGCTCTGGGCCAGCTCCCACAATTGGCACTCCATCTTGGCACACGGGACGGTCCCTGTGACTAGTCAGCAGCCACCGAGCCATGCAATGTCTATGATAAAGGTGTGAGCAGGGCAAGCAAAGAATTAGCTTTTGATCGTTACGATCATCCAAGCTATCACTTATGTCAGAAAAATTCTCCAAACAAATAGCACAAGACATCTTCTGTTCCGTAGCGGGCAAGCTATCAAGTCTCACTTGCTTCAGACCAAGAATCAACAGTTTAAATGATCGCAGAGTGACATCGTGTATGACCACATCAATAAGCAGGTTGGGGACAGCCTCTTGATCAATCACCTTGAATATTTTCGCAATTATAGGTGGCTGCTCATTGTCCGGGACATCCAAATAAAAAGAAAGAGCGGCAGCAGTATCTTCTGTCTGTCGTTCCCTTTCGTCTAATGTCCTGATCTCGGAGAAATTGGTATTGTACGGAAAAAATCTGTCAGTTAAAAGGATAGGCTCTTCATAAGTAACGTCTCTCTGATCGGAACAACATCATCTTCATGTGTACTGTTAATATTAATCCAACCGGTTACTTCGAAGTACCAAATCCTCAACAGAAGCCGGTCACCCTTTCTTATGTCGGGATCCTCTTCGAAGGGTTCGCTCGTTTGCCAAGCATCGCTGACAATGTACTGAGTTCTCTTGGAATTTGACATGCTCACTACGACTTCACTGGAATAATCAAATTCCAAGAAAAACTCTTACTGTCAAGAATTCTGGAATATAATTGACAAAAAGGGAATACGATACAATACAAGAGTATGTTATCTTAAGAGGTTAATTATTAATAAAGTAATCCTAATCCATCTAGGACTAGGGTTTGAGGTCTTGCTCGATTGGCAGTGGCTGTGAAGAGGTAGAGATGTGAAGAGAGATGAAGGTGAGCAGATCGATGGCGTCTTGGAGGGCGATGTTGATGAGTAAGTCCAGTTTGTATGAAGAAGAGATATGAAGACACAGAGAGAGGCGAAAGGCGAAGGAGATAAGAAGAAGCGCCGCCTGCGCCTGGTGATGAGACTGAAATTTTAGGGTTTAAACTTGCTCCCCAAGAAAAGTAAACTTGGTGGCCAATATAAGAGTTTGGGAAGTTTTATTTAAATACCTACGTCCAACTTAAACCTTAAATGTGAATTCTTATTTCGGAAACTTGATATAAGTCCAATATTGTCTATAATTATTTATTTATTGATATGATTTACAATAAAATTAATTTCTTCCAAAATAATCTTTTTAATTATTTCTTCTTATTAAATTTTTTTGTTGTTGTTTCCTGTTCTTTCTAAATCCCATTTATAGATTTTATTTTAAATTTTTATAATTAACCTATATCACAGGTTAATTGTATTTATCTATCTATATAAATTATTTTTATTTTTTAAATGGGTGTAAAAATATTTATATATTGAATTGGGTTTGTAAGGATAATTTAGGTAGTATATTTGGGTTTAAAGAGACAGTTTAATTAAAAGTAATGAATGTGTAAAGAGTAAATTGAGTATAGAATGAGATTATACAAGTTCAAATAAAATTTCCCGAAGAGTTTTAATCTAAAGAAAATACCTTACAAGATCAAAAATGAAAATACCTTACAAAATCAAATAAGGGAGTTGACTACACCTCATCTATTAAAAAAAATCTCACACTTACTTTTTAAGTAAAAATTATCTTAATACACCCACCAAACATATACCTAAATTACCTTCCACCATAGAGTACACCAAACACAATCAATCGTAACCTGTGTTTAGAAAATCGTAATCTTATTCAACAAATTGTGAGTTGTTAACAAAACCATCCAAAAAGAATGAAGCTAACCACCAACTATAAGGGTATTATTTTGAAATTCAAAACTCATTGTAAAGTTATATTTTTGTCCTTATTAATTGAATTTTCTTACGTTAAAACTCTATTTGGGAGCCACTTAGTACTATGGTCTAGTGGTATTCCTCTTCACTTGTAAGTGAGAGGTTTTAGCTAGGTTCGATTCTCACCAAAAACGAATTTTTTCAACTATATTATTGCTAGCCTATTATGGGGTTTGGCTTATTCTTCCACCTCTTTAGTGTAAATAATATTGTTTGCTAAAAAAAAAAAAAAACTCATATTTTGAAATTCAAAACTTGGGGACTGATAGGAAAATTATCTTCTCATTGACTTAACAAATAAGATTACAAAATCGGTATTTATACACACCTCATCACACAGATGATTGACAGCACATTTACAACAAATCCTAACCGTCTAAATAACAACTATAACAAACTATAGAAGTATTTACAAATTGACACTTCTAAGTTTTATCTTTTACACTATGATCCTTAATAGGGACTACGATTGTTGATAGCACCTAAATCCTCTGTGTGGGTATCTGTATCGTCGCTTTGTTTAATCTGAGTGTATATATAGTTGACCATTGGCAGATTTATTTTTTCTTCCCTTAGCTGATAGCAACACGAACCCTATATTTCAAAAGGATAAGATCAAGCAGGCAAATTAAGTATCTTGTGCAACTGAAAAAGCACCCTATAGGCTATAACTATAATCAAATACTTCTGATTACATCTGGAAGTTGGGTTTGTGCATTTTTCTTCCACATTTTCTTCGATACTGTTAATGGAAATGGAAAACTGAAAGTGATAGCAATCTTTGCACTAACCTTTTTATTTGGATATTTTCACTTTATTATATGCCATTTTTCATTTTGTAAAAAAAAAAAAAAAAAAAAAAAGACCTTTTTATGTTTTTGGCTCGGGATTGAAGATGAAAAACAAAAAAAATATATAATTCTAAAGACATTAAATTGCATATTTTTTTTGTGCAAAAAATGGCACCTGACATTTAAAAAGGTGAAAATATCCAAATTCAAAAATTAGTACAAATGTTGCTAGCATTTTTCATAGAAAAATATGAAAGATTTTTCTGTTAAACATAAAAATAATGATAGAGTGAAAAAGTTGCAAATTTAGACGTCCATAGTTTGAATCAACTTCTGGGGCATGTAGATTCTAGTTTCAACTCTCATGAGCATAAAACTATACAAATATATTGAATTCGTATACGTAGTTTGTAAGTTATTACACGTATTCAGGATTGAACTTAAAAGTTTTACACGATAAAATTAAGAGCGACTCATAACCATTTTCTCCTTTCTAAAAACAGAATCTTAGTGGATTGTTTGTTTGTTTGGTCCTTTTCTTTTGGGACAATAATCATAAGAAGGTGTTTGTGGAAGGAAAGCATATTAAGAAAACACCAGTATGGTCTATCAGTGTTGGTTTAGCTACTAAATATTAGCATTTAGCACGTTTTGTGCTCCCATTTGGACAAATACATGAAAACAACTCCTGTTATATATTACTTCTAAGTCTCATAAAATAATGCTTATGAATTATATGATATATGTTGCCATCAGGTCTTTGGATTAATTTTATTTAATTTAGAGTTCCTACCTAACTGAAGTTTTGATAACTTTTGCAAAATAAAAGAAAGATGCATCTCTATAATTTTATGCCAAAAATTCATTTGCATCCTAACAACCACTCGTTTAGTTCAAATTATCCAACAATTCCATTAACTAATACTGGGAGCATTTGGTTAAGTATACAAGTCATCAAGAAACTTATAATTTTCAACTTTATTATTTTTCAAAGGAAAGATGAGACTATCAAACAGAGTTTTCTCTGGATCTTATTATTTGGAGTCCAAGATCATACAATTCGGATCATTGGAAATGAATTTGATCCTATTAACAAATTTCATTGGCCCACCACACACAAACCAATGACTCCAAACTCTTTTTCACACAAACAAAAGGCACAATTTCTTAATCCTTAGACTCCGGACATAATTCAAATTCAGGAGCATATATATGCTGCATTTGCTAAATTTCTCTGCTTCCTATTTTTTATTTTCTAAACTCCTTTTTCTGGACTCTTATGTAATTTGCCGATTTTCGAAGTTTGGAATCCATGAGCAAAGACACAAAATCCATCGCTAGCGAATTCAACACAAAACATAGTTTTTTCATTGGAAAAGCAAGCCCCGACAGCCATATGAGTAATAATTAAATACAGTGAGGCGTATCTGATTTATATATTACAATATCTGGTTTGTTTATTTATTTTTTCACTTAAGAATTGGTGACTTTGATGTGATCTACGCCATTGGTTCATGATCGGACACTGTCTGTTTTTTGTTGACATGATGATCGCAACCATCCATGTGTCTCTAATGGTAAAGATGCACAAGTGGCCACGGTGTCATTCCTCTGGTTTATATAATTATATTTGGATTTCTTCTTCTCAGTACCAATATATATTGTTAATCGGATTCTCATCATCAATATTTATTTTTAATGAGATCACATAATTGTAAAGCGAATGACACTTGTCAATAACATGTGTCAGATGTTTAGTTTTTATTTGGTAATAATGTTAGCATAAGTCGCGCACGAGGACGTGATTGATATGGAGAATTCATGTTCTTGCAATCCATATAATTAAGAGTTTGAAATTAAACACGCCATCTAAATGCTCAATTTATTTATCAAGAAATAAC